ATAAAAAAAATTAATTATATAAAATTTATTAATGATTAAATTAAGAGACTTTATTCTTATAGTAATTAATTTTTTTATGAGAGATTTTAAGGTAATTCTTCCATAATTTTTTCAATAATAAATATATTATTCACAAAGCACAAAAATTCTCAAGACACGCAACCTTTGTCACACCTTTCTTTGTCATTTGCTTGCCCTAACCTAAACGTAATCTCACTCGGCACTCAGCACTTGGAAACATAAGGACCAAAGAAGTTGCTATCAATCTTTTCCTTTGTCCGTTCAACCTATGCCTTCAATTTCTTCTATAGAAAATTCAAAGTGTGGTCCCCTACAGAACTGAGACATGCAAAGGAATGAGAAAATTCAGATGACTACCATAGAGTGATAGATTATGATTAATATAACTATTAAATATAACCACTACTATGAGCCGAGAAAATGGATAAAGTTCAATATGTCATCTTATCACATGTTGATTTGAAAAAAAAAAAAAAAGGACAAAGGGATAAAAACACTAATAAAATTATCAATCAAGAGCATTCAATAATTTAAAATAAAGTAAAAAGTGTACAAGTCATATGTAATTAGATTATTAAAAGTCAATGATATTGTTGTTATGTAGTAAATATAAATTTTAATGATTTAATCACAGACGTGTCAAAAAAATAATTTCTTGCATGCTCATATATTTTCTCACCTCTAAACTACTAAATGCATTTGGCCAATAACTTTTTAAATATTTTTACTTTTTTTGTGTAGGAATTCTAAACCCATTAAAGCCAAGTTAATTTAACTTGTCCCCTTTTAACCTATGAAAAAACATGCCAACTCGCCTAATCCACATGCTAACCCACTAATTTGATTTCCTTAAATTTTTTAAACTTTTTTTATAATATTTAAAAAGGTACATTTTGAATCCCAAATAATTAAAATTGGGACAATCTCATATCTATTATTAATTTTCAACAAACGTCTGTCAGATTTATTTCAGAAAAATTGTATTTTAGGCCCCAATTTAACAAATATTTATTAAAAGTTAATGATATGGGTAAAATTACTTTAATTTTAATTTTTTAGAGTTCAAAATACACCTTTTTAAAAGTTTAGAATTTAAATCATCTCTGGATCTATATTTTAAAATTCAAATTACAAATTAACCCTATAACTTGTTAATATAAAAATTCATATATATTTCCGCCTCTTACTTTTACTTTTGAATATACTAGAGGGTGGGGTACTTGTGAATCTGTTTATATATATCACTTGTGAATTTTGTAAAGTTCTTCAACGAAGATATTTCATTTCTCGAATGATCCTTGATTTATTAAAGTGACTAATACTACCAAAAAAAAAATAGAGGGACAAAAATTGAGACTATATTTTTAATATAAGTTTTATTATTCTTATATTATGAAACCATGAACACTCTCAGGCTCCCTCAAACAAGGGCAAACAAAATTATAGTCAAAATATCTATGAAAGTACTAATCACGTCAGACCACAACTTAGGCTAGATGATAGACTGTTGTTTTGGATCATGTGGTTTGGCCCAATCAAGGCCAATAATATTTAGAAGAATTACGTATAAATTTTAAATAAAAAATTAATTATTATAAAAATTTATTTATAATTAAATTAAAGACATTGATAATACAATGATCTTAATTCAATTATTAGTGATCCTTATAATTATTAGTTTCCTTACGAGCGACTTCAACAAAATTCTCCCATAAATTTTAATATTAAATATATTATTCACAAAGCACAAAAATTCTCAATTTCAGTCAGACACGCAACTTTCTTCTCACCATTCTTTGTTATTTGCTTGCCCAAAACCTAAACCTAGTCTCACTCAGCACCCAACACTTGGAAACATAAGTGCCAAAGAAGTTGCTATCAGTCTTTTCCCTTTTTTTTCCATTCAATCTATGCCTTCAATTTCTTCCATAGAATATTCAAAGTGTGGTCCCCTGCAAAACTAAGGCCATGTTTGGTATGATGGAAGAGTTTTTAATGAAATCGGAATCGGAATCGGAATCGGAATTGGAATTGGAATTGGAATAGAATTGGATTTAAAAGTGTGTTTGGTATAATGATGGAATCCTGATATAATTTTAATAAAATATAAGTATTTAAAATAAGAAAAGACTAAAGTGTCCTTTTTAAAATTAAAAAAAATTATATTGGAGGAGAGAGAAGGGGCAAATTGGAGAAATGGAACCATGGAATTGGATTCCATGATGCATATGATGAAATTGGATTCCATCAATTTCTTTGAATCCTGATTCCAAATAATCATAATTATTGCATACCAAACACACATGTTAACAGATTCCATGTCCAATTTCATTTCTTTCTCCATGATTCCAAACTACCAAACGGGGCCTAAGACATATAGAGGAATTGGAAAATTCAAATGACTACCAGAGAGACGGGGAGAGAGATTGTGACAAATATAACTATTAAGCATAACCACTACTAGGAGCCGAGAAAATGGGTAAAGTTCAATAGGTCATCTTATCACATGTGGATTTGAACAAAAAAAAATTGGACAAGGGATAAAAACACTTAAAAAAATTATCAACCAAGGATATCTAACAGGTTAAAATAAAAAAAAAATACACAAGTTATTTTTCAGTGCGTATGTACCCAAATCTATATGTTGTGGATATAAAATTCAACAATTTGTCACAGATGCGTTAAAAAAATAATTTCATGAACATTCACGCATTTTTTTTCATTTTAGATTATTAAATATTTTAATTATTGACTTTTTAAATATTTTTACCCCCTTTATGCGTAGAAATTTTAACCTTATTAAAGACAGATCAATTTAACTTGTCCCTTTTAACATATAAAAAAAGCATCCCAACTCGCGTACTCCATATGCTAACCCACTCATTTGATTTCTATAAATTTTTAAATTTTTTATTTAATTTTAATAAATAAAAAAGGTATTATTTTACATTAAGTTTAAGCATAACTTTTGTTTTATGTGAGGAAATTGATTTCACATATTTGATTTCTCATCAAATTCAACACAAAAGTTAATAGCATATTCTCTTTTTTATTCAAACATAGAAAAATTAAATGTAATTAGACATTACTGATAAATTATTACATATACTTTTCTTTACCGCGTTTCAAATTGCTTTCAAGTTTCAACACCAAAGTGAAAATGTTAGGTTGTTGACTATTGTGCAGCTTGGGGCCACTGCCAACAAAAGCAGGGCCACGGGTTCATTTTCGTTGCAAAACACACAATGAAAGCACCAACTATATATGCACAATTTCATGATTCTTTTTCTTCAAGGAAAAAGATCTTGGGCTGTCCAAATCAACATTCAAATTTAATTTAGGTGGTGCCAAATTTTTTAATTTATTTTTATATATTAAAATAAATTTATAAAAATTTTTAATAAATTTATTCACAATCAATTTAGCATAGATTTAATTTAGATGATCTAATATGACATTAACTTTATTATAATTTTTATAATAGTGTAGTTTTAATATTAAATTTTTATATAATTTTTAAAAAAATTTTATTTTGATAAGTACAATACTAAAAATAAAGATAATCTCTTAATTGGCACTTTTTATAAAATATTTTTTGAAAAAATAACAAGTTAAAAATTTTTAATCTACACCATTCTAAGTAAATATAGATAGTCAATTTATAAAAATTATAAAAAAATTAATATTGAATTGGATTGTACAAATTGATAAAGAAAAGATTTATTAAAAATTAAAAAATATAATTATTGATCCCTATAATTTCATTAAGTTTTGCTTAAATTTTTTTGGAAAAAATACAACCATTTGTCTCTATAGTTTTCTTAGTGTTTTTTAACCAAAAAAATTTATTCCTTAAAAATGGTTGTATTTTTTTCAAAAAAATTTAAGCAAAACTTAATGAAATTATAGGGATCAATAATTATATTTTTTAATTTTTAATAAATCTTTTCTTTATCAATTTGTACAATCCAATTTAATATTAATTTTTTTGAAAAAATACAACCATTTTTTTGGAAAAAAAACTTTATAGTTTTAGTAAGATTGGATGACATTTGTTCCTCAAATCCATAATAATATTAAATTATAGGGACTATAATAACTAAAATTACTAAAAAAAACTATAAGTACTAAAAGCAAAGTTTGATAAAATTATAAAGACCAATTGTTGTGTTTTTTCTTAAAAATTTAAGCCAACAAAAGTTGATCTAGTTGGTAAAGATTTAATTTATAACCCATAAGGGATAATTTATAAATATATTTATAAGTGCTCTTTAAATTTAGAGGCATGTCTTGACCTTGGTGTATCCTCAAGATTCAATTCACTTAAATTTTTTTCTACCAAATTTTTTTATAAATTTTTATTTTAACAAATGTAAAATATAAATAAAAATTAAAAGCTTTAAATTTGAATTGTCAAGAAAATTCAAAAGCTCTCTTGTAAAACAGAGATATAAAGGACTTGGAAAATTCCAAGGACTACCAATAAGTGATAGATTATGACTAATATAACTATTAAGTATATTAACCACTAAAAGTTAGGAAATCAGGTTAAGTCTAACAGACCAACATCCCACCACATGTTGATTTAAAGACCAGTCGATCGGAAAAATTCCAACCCATTAAAAGACAGGTCGATTTAACTTGCCTCATTTAACTTGCCAAAACAAAAATGGCCAACTCAACTTAACCCATAAGCTAACTTGCTTTTTTCATAGCTTTTTCATTGTTTTAATTTATTATTTTTATTTAATTCAGATAAATAACAAAGTTATTGTACTTTTACATTTAGTTTAAGCATAACTTTTATGTTAGGAACGTGGTTTCATATATTTGATTTTTCTCATTCAATTCAACACGATAGTGATTAGCATATTTTTTTTTAATTTTAACATAGAAAAATCAAATGTAATTAAACATTACTAATAAACTATATACTTTTCTTTGCCGTGTTTCAAATTGCTTTTGACATTAAAGTAAAAATGACAGGTTGTTGATTGTTGTGGAGCTTGCTGGGCCCCCTCTCTCCAAAAATGTTACTGCTATACTTTTCTTCGCTCTGTTTTGAGGGACCCATTGACTCATTATTTTTATTTTAGTATTTTACAATATAATAAAATAATACATATACATATTTGAAGGTGTCAATAAGAATTAAAAAATGGAGCTAGCATAAATAGCATTCTTGTGCAAGATAATAATCCATATAAATTCACAGAACAATTTGTTACCACCAATCACCACTCAATAGCATTACCACTTGTGCCTGAAGAATGAGAAAGAGGATGTGCAAGATATTTCACAAATTGCTTGTGCTGGCTATTGTACTGCTTTAGTCATGTGGAGCTATAGGTGCTGAGGTTGAATGCATAGATAAGGAGAGGAAAGCCTTGCTTCTGTTTAAGGCTGCTCTTGGAGATAATGATGGCCTTTACACATGGTCTTCATGGGGTCACAAATTGAACAAGAAAGATTGTTGTGAATGGGAGGGAGTTCGCTGTAGCAACCGAACGGGTCGAGTACTGAAGCTAGACCTTCATGGTGATTCCATCCAACCCTTTTTGCGAGGTAAGATCAGTGCTTCTTTAGTAGAGTTGCAATACTTGATGCATTTCAACCTTAGCTTTAATCAATTTTACGATAGCCATATCCCAAAATACTTTGGCCTTTTAACCAACTTAAAGTACCTTGATCTACGAGATTGTGGTTTAAGCAATCGAATTCCAAGTCAACTTGGGCATCTTTCACACCTACAATATCTTGATCTGAGCTTTAATTATATGAAAGGCCCAATCATTTATCAATTGGGAAATCTCTCACAATTGAAGTATCTTGATCTCTCAATGAGTGATCTTCAAGAAGCAATTCCTTATCAACTTGCAAATCTCTTACAATTAAAGTATCTTGATCTCTCAATGAGTGGTGTTGAAGGAGCAATTCCTTATCAACTTGGAGATCTCTCACAATTGCAACATCTTGATCTCTCTGAGAATAATCTTAAAGGAGCAATACCTTATCAACTTAGGAATCTTTCAAACTTACAAAGGATTTTCCTTGATGGTAATGAAGCTCTCAAAATTGACCAGGAGAACGGTTCTGAAGGTGAGTGGCTATCTGGCCTCACTTCTTTAACCCATCTTAAATTGGGGTTCATAACCGATCTCAAATACTCTCATAAGTGGCTACAAATGATTGGAATACTACCTAACTTGAAGGAAGTAAGCTTATCAAATATTGGTCTTTCATACCAATATATCCTTTCATTGCCTTCTTTTAAATTCAATTCCTCCTCTCTTTCTAAATTTGATCTATCTGGGAATAGTTTCATGTCACCTGCAATATTCCATTGGATCTTAAACGTTAGCCATAATCTTGTTGAGCTTGATCTTTATGGGAACAACTTCTTAGAGGATCCCATACCATATAATTTTGGTAGCATCATGAGTTCTCTAGAGAATCTAGACCTTGGTTCAAATAACCTCACAGTGAGTGGATTAAAATCCTTAGGGAACTTATGTACTTTACATTCATTATCCCTGTATGATAACCATATAAAAGAAGACCTCTCATCAATTGTTCAAACTTTGTTTCCATGTGCGAGATATTCTTTACAATACCTATATCTAATCATTTGGCACATTAATTGACCTTTCCACATTCACATTCTTAAAGACACTTGACATTTCAAGCAATTGCTTTGCTTGAATAGGACAATACCTAAAGATCTTCAATTTCCCTCTTCATTGGTGTCTTTGGATATTGAATACAACTCTTTAAGAGGTGTTCTGACAAACTCTCACCTTGACAACATGCCCAACTTAAAATATTTAAACCTAAATAACAACTCATTGGTTTTGAGATTTAGCCACAATTGGGTCCCACCATTTTAACTACAAACCATGCATCTGGGATCTTACAGGTTAGGTCTCAATTTTCCCTAATGGTTGCTCACTCAAAATGATTTCACCGATCTTGATATTTCAAATACTAAAATTTCAGGCACTATTCCAAAGAGGTTTTGGAGACAATTGACACCAGATCTCGAATATCTAGATGTTTCAAGCAATAACATTTCTGGTACAATACCAAATGTTCCTATAAGATTAATATATCCATACCTTATATCTCTAGATCATAATCATTTTAATGGTCCAATTCCACAATTTCTACATAATGTGTCTTCTCTCATAATGTCAAATAATAATTTCTCTGAGCTTCACCTATTTTTATGTGCAAATGGGCCAAGTGAAAATAGGTTGATGATATTAGATGTTTCCAATAATCAATTATCTGGACAACTTCCTGATTGTTGGAATCATTTTAGATCATTAGTCCTTTTGGACTTGAGTAATAATAATTTGTCTGGGGTAATTCCTAATTCTATTAGTTATATGCAAAGTCTTCAAATATTAACATTGAGAAACAACAAGTTTGCCAACGAGTTGCCTATTACCTTAAGAAGTTGCTCCAATTTACTAATGCTTGATGTGGGAGAAAACAAATTACGAGGACCTATACCTTCATGGATTGGGATTGAATTACAAAAGTTGGTAATCTTAATCTTACAAAAGAATAACTTCATTGAAAGTTTATCATCACATCTTTGTTATTTGCCAAGCATTCAATTCCTTGATATCTCCTTCAACAATCTATCTGGACAAATACCAAAATGCTTCAAAAACTTTACGGCCATGGCTCAAGCAAAGAGTTATTCATATTTAGAAATTAGTTCTGTGCAGATAACTAGTTGGAGCATGATGGATGTTTCTGAGGAGCCAAATGCCTTATTGATGTGGAAAGGTATTGAAAGAATTTTTAAGGATCCATTATTTTTAAAAGGGATTGATCTTTCAAGCAACCTATTAACGGGAAAAATTTCAGAGGAATTGGGAATGTTAGTTGAAATGGTATCATTAAACTTATCAAGAAACCAATTAGATGGAGAAATTCCATCCGAGATTGGACGATTGAAATCGTTAGATTCTCTTGATTTGTCGAGAAACCATTTCTCTAGACAAATTCCTTTTAACCTTACTCAAATTGATTATCTTGTAGTGTTGGATTTGTCACATAACATTCTTTCTGGGAAAATTCCAATCGGCACACAATTGTAGAGTTTTGATAGCTCAAGTTGTGAAGGAAATCTTGACCTTTGTGGAAAATCACTTGAGAAGTTGTGCCTTGAAATAGGAAAACATCGAGAGCTTGGTAAATTTCAAGAAGACAAGGACATCATTATCTCTAAAGAGTTTTATTGGAGCATGACATTTGGATTCATTTTTGGATTTTGGGGAAGTTTTGGTTCAATACTTTTCAATCGCTCTTGGAGACATGCTTACTTCAGATTTGTGAACAATTTGGCAAATACTATTTATGTTATGGTCACATTGAATGCGACAAAGTGCAATAGATGGCTTAGAGGTTATTTGGTAATAATTTTGCATCTCCTCATTTTTGTTCTTGGCTTTTGCGTTTGCAGCATTAATTAGTCTAACCATTTAGTGTGACTTGTTAGTTTATATCTATTCATGCTTTTAGCTTCTACAAACATAGTACTTTATTAATAACGTTATTTTTAATTATATGTGTGTTAGCTAGATCTTCTATTTAATGTCCAAGCTTATGTATCGTTAATTAGTTAAATCAGCTTAATAATGGTTTTGGTGACATGAGCACGGCTGCTCTTTGTCCAATAGTAAACAAAAAGTAGTGAACGACAAACTATTATTTTGTTTTGTAAGCAAGTATGTATGTATGTATGTATGTATGTATGTATAATTGTTAAAAGACATAGCTAGTTACATGAAACATTGTCATTATTAGTTGGGGTTAATCTTTTGTCCTTCATACTTAAATTCGAAGAATCTTAGTCTTTGCTTGGGTGAAATTAACTATGATAATCATTATATCCTTTTATTTCTTATCAAATAAAATTTAGTTCTCATTTTGTATTGTAGTGAAATTCATAAAGAATTTTTTAAAAAAAAAATAAAGAATCAAATCAATTATTTCCGATTTTATTGTAAAGTTTTGTCAAAAATAATTTTAGTTCATGAAAGTGTAGAATGTTAAAAATTAAAGTATATCTCACCACTATTTCTTGGAGACCATGATTCTTTCTGTGAAGCTTAAAAAAATTTAATTTACTATATTTTGTAGGTTTTATAAACTTTATTTTAATAATTAATGTAAGAGAAAGGAATGAGAAGTCATTTGCAGGGTCATGAAGTTTTCTCTTCAGCTTCCTTCTGTTTTGTGCGGACAAATGTCTCAAAGTCTCTCTGATGGGTCGATCTCAGTTTTTCATCCTTTAAACAAATTATTAGAAACGGGATTTAATTCTGTAACCCTTTGCGTGGCCAAATCTTGTGGGCAAAGAAAATTTTTTTTTACCCTTTATAATATTCTTGGCCTTACAAAACAAATTGTAGACTAACACTGGCAAGGGTGTTAAGTAATTGACACAAGTTAATGCCTCTATTCTGTTAACTTTTATTTATAGCTTCTCTGTACTCTCTCTGTTAAAAACAAAGTAAGACATTGTTAATGTTTGAAGATATAATTAATAGGTTATTTTTAAATATATTTTTAATAAATAAGTTAAATAAGTAAATATATAAATTTAGTGTTAATTTGAAAACAATTAATTAATTTATCGAGGGTAACATTGAGTTAGAAATTACTTTTATTTTTTAAAAGAGGGAGTATATGTTTTGCAAAATGTAATTATTATGAGTATATTTATTTTTTTTTTTTTTTACATATTGCAGGAGAAACTAAGGTGAACAGATCTTCATGGTTGAATAATGTGCAGGAGAAGGGACTTGGACTGAGTGTCTGCCGTGAAGCCAACATGAATAGTTGCAATGTTCTCTTAATTATTAGTTTCCAAATTAAAGAATGGGAAAGTTAAACCAAGTTGACTAGGGCTTGAAATAGTATATGCACTCTTATTTTCTACTTTTCAGTGTGTAACTATAAATGACATTACATTGAATGTCATATATATCCAGGGATAATGAGAATTAAGTTTTAAAGTATAGAACTAATCACATTTAGTTTTCTGATAAAATTGTTTGAAAATAAATTTCAAATATAGATTTAAATAATTATAATTTAAGAATTTCAATTGCAAATAGAATATTTAAGTTCTAATTGCAACGCTTAGTTTGCAATTAGGATTCCTATTTATAACTATCCAAATTAATATCTAAAACTTGTTTTTTAAAAAAATTCGTTAAGCATTTAATTATCATTAATTTATTAATTTTTATAAAACTTAGTTGTCATTCTCTCTTATTTCTATGTTGATCTCACCAGTCATCAAATTTTGGACTCAAGTTATTTGATGCATTATATTAATTAGGCAAACAATTGTTATTTCGTTTTATCTAGTACTTTCTCGGCCTAATTAGTTAACTAATTCATGCAAATTAAAAAAATTAAGTATGGTAATTATTTTAAAAAATATGCTAGTTTTCCAAAAATATCTCTTCTTTTAATCAATTCCATTAGAGTATTATCATCAATTCATTATAACTTATACATCATACAGGAACATAATTATAAAGATGGTTTTAAAAAAGATAAAAATATGGAGATAAAAAGTATTGGGATTTTACATTTAGGACAAAGAAAAAAACCCTCAATAAATTCTATATTTAAGGCCAGCGGGAGTATATAGATTGACCGAAATGAAATTCAAAAAAAAAATGTAGATTATAAATATCATTGAAGCTTTAAAAAATGCAATTCAAATTAGATAATACAAATAGCAGATGCACCCATTTCAAGACATCATTAGGTTACGCTGGATTGATACTGTATACTGTGTAGAGATTAGATTGTATCTGTAAATAACATGTTAATTGAGGGCTAGTTCAGGAACTCATTCAACTTTCATGGGGTCATTAGCTTCTGAGAATTTTTCTCACTTTCCTAAATTATCACTCCCTGCATTTCTGAAAGTAACACAAATTTTAAAAGATTTTTTTATTCTTAATATAAAGTATAGCCCTAATAGACTCTAAAAAAAATGATCTTAGGCTCAGGCAGCCTTCCATGCCTTATATATATATATATATATGCATGAAAAAAAAACTCCTCCCTGAAACACATTGTTCTAAAATTTGAAGAATATCATTTAATAATCTCATCTATGCACTGGCTCTTTAGACTCAAAGTTTACCACTTGGAAGCAAATGTTATCTTCTTCAATATTGTATTGTCTTTTTGTTATGCTAAGTTTAGGCCAAATTTGAATTCTCTTTTGACCTCCAATTAAGATCTTGTTTTGATTTTTTCTATAGTTCTTGTAACTTGCCTTTTGATTTGGAAATATAGATCTTCACTACAACAAAAAAAATAGCTAATTAGCGATAGAATTTTTCATCGCTAATCAATGCAAATTTCGTCGATCAATGAGTTAGCAATAAAATATTTCCATCAGTAAAAATACTGTCACTAATTCATTAGCAATGAAATTTGCAATTCCATTGCTAATTAGCAATGGAATAGTGATAGAAAATTTTTGTCAATAAATAAGGATAAGCTATTTTGACTTTGCGCATTCCATCACAAAATTTCTAATGGACTTATTCTATTGCCAATTTTTAGGTGGACTAAAACACTATCACCTTGTCACCTGGTGGACCAATGCTATCTCAGCACTGCCTCATCACCCAGTGGATAGTGCCACCTCAGCATCGCCTCCTTGCCACTTCACCTTAGCACCACCTCGTCACCTCACTACCACTTCATTTGTCGCTATCATGTCAAATATTATTACTTTCAGTTATGCCTCGGCCAAACTCAAACTTGCAACCTCACACTGCTTAATACTTTTGCGTTCACCTTATTGCAATTGAGCTGAAAGAAATCTTCAATCATAATTGATAAATTAAATATATAATGCTTAACCATACACACATATATTAATAAATATATTATTAAATATAGTATTTAAATTTACTTTTGTTAACATTATATGTATTTATTAATATGCCAAAATTAATTTATATATAATAATTATTTTTGTTATATTTTATTTTTAAAAATATTTTTGATAATAAATTTAATATTAAATTGAAAAATATTTATTTATTATTTAATTTTATTTTTAAATAGAAATAATTAAGTATACAGTTTAAATTATTATTAATAATATACAATAATTTAAAATAATTTTATAATTTTTAATTTATTCATTTATAGCATAATAATAAATTATATATAAATATATATTATAAAAATAAAATAAAATTAAAAATAATTTGTGATAGAATTAGCAACAAAATTATGACAGAAAGCTTTGTGAAAAATTTTTTGTCACAAGTTCCATCGTTAAATTGGAATAAGATATCTTGAAAATTAGTGATGAAATTTTTCATTGGTAAATTTTGCTAGTAAATTATTTCTAATGGATTAGTGAAGACATAATAACAAAATTTTAGTGATGCAATATTTTGTTATTAAATTCCATCACTAATTTAGTGACGGCATTAGCAATGGATTAGCGACAAAAATTTATTCTGTCGCTATTTTGTTGCTTTTTTGTAGTGCTTTTTGTGTCTAATTTTTTATTTGTGATATTATTTCTTTCTTGCTAACTCTAAAGCACAAATATTAGAATTTATTTTAAATTTTTTTTCTAAAACGGGCTCATTGGCTCACCTTTGAGCCCTTCAAAAAAGTTTAGGCTTCAAAAAATGAGGGTTTATTTTTTGATAAATTAAAGTGAACCATCATTTTAATACTCATTAATGTTTTTCTCTGTAGAGTTGTTTTCATTCGTTGTTATGACTTTTTTTTTGCTTCAATCTCTCCACCACTTGTTATAAATGGTGAATTAGGAGATAATTAGGCAAATGGTAAGGAAAAGGGGTAGTTTGGGAATTTATTAATATCTTTATGATATTTGTCAGAATAAATTACCAACTAGAGGGATAAAGGCAGTCATGCCAGGATAAAACCAAAACTTCAATTTGGGTGTGAAAATCTTATTCAGAAGTTGAGGGATATATTTCGCTAACAAAGTTTTTAAAAAAGCTTCTGAAACAAAGCCTAAGTTAGCATTGAAGTAAGGAATTCTGCTATCTTAAAAGAGAGAAGTGTG